TCTGTCTCCTTCAACTGCACACAAGCTTCAAAACTTTTACAATACTTGTAACTTTTCTTCTCTAGATATCACCCAATTAATTATTACAATAGTGTCTCAAGTTTTCTCCTCTCTTGTTTCGCAAATTCAACTAATTATTAAATCCCTTATTCTCAATCAAAATGCCTAATGACACTAATCAGCTCACTATACTGAACTGGAATTCTAATGGTATTAAAAGGCAACTTCAAATTTTGAACACTTCCTCCATATTGACAAATAGCTTGCGTCACAGAAACTGGTCTTGTTCCTAATGAAACATTTTTCCTATTTGATTACAAAATATACAGGTATGTTAGGCTTGATAGCATAGCATCTGGTTGTGTTGCTATCATAATATCCCTTAAATTAAAATGTACTTTAACACACACCACTGTTTCACCCTCACCAAAATTACTAACAATTATAATATACATTTATAAAACACAATATCACATATTAGTTGCTTATATATCTCCCAAATATATATTTTTGCTTTTAACTTTTCAAAACATTTTTAACAATATTAAAAACATTTTGCTAATAGACAACGTAAATTGTAAAAACCAAATTTGGGTAGTAACAGTACTAACCCTTCAGGCTATAAACTACACTCATTCTCACCTCTCATACCCACCTACTATACTTATAATGAAAACATCATTCTGACATTGTAGACATAATGATTACATTGTGACTGACATTGTAGACATAATGATTACACAAAATTTACATTTGCTCGTCACTCAAACTGTACTTCCTGAACTTGATTGTGATCACTACCCAGTTTACTCACACTTTAATTAATCATCACAGCCAAAAATTCTTCAACTTCTTAGATGATTTACAACAAACACATACTTTTAACTTAGGTCAAACATACTTATTTCCTCAACAAATACTTTCAAGATTTCCGAGAGATAAATTCCATCCCCCGCTAAACCACATAATATTTATTAGCTTCCTTCCTCATTCAGCAAAAATTTCTCAAAATATCTAATTACATATTTTTTAGTAAAATAGAATTTATATATTTAATGTAATATTGTCTGAAATCCCTACCTCAGGCTCCCTGTGAGATCCAAATCTTTAGTGATGTCAATTTGTAATGTCAAAAACTCCAAAAGACATTCTTGTTGAACAGTCAGAAAAAAAATTAAATAAAGAAAGGAATAATAAAAAAGAGAAAGAAAAGAATTACATTTTAAATTAATCATTTATTTTATTAATGCTATCTTTAATACTTTATTGAAAGATATTACCAGAAAATGTTTTGTTTGTTGCATTATTTTTCTAGCAGGACGATATCGAAGGCAGTCAATTAAATCACCAGATGAATATGTACTGCATCCTAAAATTTCTGCCAATTTATTTGTCTGAACTCGTGGCTTATACGCTTGAGCCCATGGTGATAGTGCTGTTCCAGCAAATGACATTCCTCCATGGAATAATCCTTAAGAAAATTAAAAATTTTAGAATACATTGATTTCTAACAAAACTTTTTATAAGATATTAGCTTAATAAAAAACGAAAGGTTGCAATCAAAAATGTATTATCCATGTTTTGTAATCCTCTTGAAGAATTTTGAATATTAAGAAAAGAATAAAAATATCGATAATGGAAATTGTGTTATTTTTGTACAGAGAATAAGTTATGATAAAAGGAAATAATCCCGAAATACGAGGATGGTACGAAGTGAATGTATTAAGAAAGGAAATGGTGCGTCACTTCATTGACTACAAGTGTGCACATGTGCTCGTGTACACCCATTAAGTTTTGGAATGAAATGTTTCTTCAATTGATGTTATTTATAATTCTTACTGAATATTGTATAACCGCCCAGTCTCGCGTGTGCAACATTGCGGTAAATATCTTGGACTAGAAACTTTTCGACCGCCCTTCGTGCAGATTTGAAGTTAATTTGATATTGAACTAAAATAGATGTAGACAACACGCTGGATTAACGATGGATTATTTTACAGGAAGATAAATAGAAAAGAAGTAAATCGTGAAATTACGTATTATGCTCTCTCCATAAATCCACATTGCTTTTACTGAGAATTCTTACGTAAAATACGGCTATGAATGAATTCCTACGCAATTACGGCTAATGATGGAATATAGCTAATTTTTTAATCAGTCAGTTAATGTTTCACCAAAATGGTGACGAAGTAGAATCACTTGGAAGTATACTTTAACAGGATGAAGTTGATATTAGCAAGCACGAGATGGCTAGGAGAGGTGAAGTGCCTTACGGAAACGGGGAAGAGTTGGAGGGAAGTTTCTAAGGCTTGGAAGAGACAAGTTTTGTAGTTCCGGCCTATATTGTGCCATTCGTAAATTCCTATTTTCTCGATGTCGCGTAGGTAGGTATCTAACCGGATATCGACTGTGCGCTTCGCTAGGCGCCTTCGAGTTCCCGACGAGGCTCCGCCCTGGCGATCGGGCGCGGATCCACGGGACGAAAATGAGGCAAAGTTCCCCTCCCAACATTTTCCCCTAACTATTTATTTTAACTTGTCATGAGAATTTCAAGCAAAACTATTTTCGGATCATCATTAAAACGAAAAAAAAAAAAAAGAAAAAAAAAAAGGTATCGGAGCATGAGCTAAGTGTAGCCTGCGACATTTTACAAAATCTGTAATGATATATTCGACAAAAATATTTTAAATGTCCTCTCCGCAAATTCGTCTCTAGATCCGTTCCTGTTCGCAATTTATGTACATAAAACAATTTTGACCCTTTAAACGCATAATTTCCAACGCATTTTTATTCCAAAATACTTCTCTCGAAAACATAAGACGCTCCATCCTAGGTGCTTCCATTTTATCACCTTACTTTATCCAACGCCTTGAGGTTAAAGTCAACATTAGTCGGGTGAAGTTTGAATGTTCCGTTTATCATCCTTCACATAGCTTTATCCCCACTGTTTGACTAAACGAATTAACTATTTGCTACGTTGTTTCAGACTTCAGTTGTAACATCTATACTGGGCGATAAGATATATAATAGAGGTATTACGAAACTCGTTTTCATTTTTATGTGAATAATGTTTTGACCAATTTGATTTATAAGAACTATATATGCACGTATCTTACGTAGTATTTATAACTGAAATATTTTTTTATTTTTTATATTTACCTTGTGAATTTGATGAAAAATAATGGTAATGCACGCTGGCTCCGCCTGCTAATGATCCTGCTATAATTACTCTCATAGGATTGCCTCCAAAGGCAGCAATATTTTTTTGAATCCAATGTAAAGCCAATACTTGATCTTTCATTCCAAAATTACCTGGTGCTACATCATCTTCGGTGCTCAGAAATCCTGATAAATAGGAAAATAAATTTCCAACAAAATAAGGACCCAAATCGCAAACGATGAACCCGAATTTAATTCATTTCGTACCCAAAATGCCTAGTCTGTAATTGAATGTGACCACCACAATATTGTTATCCATTAGATGAGATGGATCATGTTTCAGCTCAGTGGCAGACATAAATGTTTTTCCGTGAATGAAAACCAAGACTTCTCTCGGAGGCGAAGAATCCATTGTAAAGAGCTGAAAGTAAACATTGAAACATTTTAAAACTTGATGCTATTTATTGGCTGGTAAATATGTACATGATATATTCCATTTATATTTCACTAGTAGTGCATATTTTTTTAGTCAGTTATTATAAGGAGTTACGACGAGTTAGTTTGACCTTTGGCGTAAAAATATTAATAAATAGACAATCTTCACTTCCAGTTACACGGTCTAAGTCATTCTCGTATTGGAGACAGGAACTTCCATATTCAGATGCATTCCATACACCAGGCCATCTCTTTATTGGTGTAGGTTCCTGAAAAAATCTTATTTAAAACACGCTCTAGTTTAAAGAAGTTTTTATCAAGAGACATGTAGTCGTTCTAAAAAGCATAATTCTAGGCAACTTCGATAAATCGAATTTTGTCGATCCTTTTTCGCTTCATGACAAAAACATGAAAAATTATAAATTAAGAAATTCTTATATAATGAAATGATTGCAACAAAACATGACAAGATATAGATTTAGATTTACAGATATAAACTATTTTTATATCTGCTTTGAACACAATCTCAGCACTTTTAATTCAACAGGTACTATAATAATAATAATAATAATAATAATAATAATAATAATAATAATATATAATTATTATTAAGGTAATGATTAGCGTTATTAAAAAACTACCGTCACCATATAATTTTATTTCAGATTTTCCAAAAGTAACAAAAAAATATAATTGGACACATCCTAAATAGTGTGTCTGAAAACTTAATTATCTTTTTACTTTCTCGCTCTTCGTGAGATGAAAACTACGTAATCGTGAGCTCGAAAACGGCGAACTTTCGGCAGAAACTCTTACTGCCGGGCCCTGGTAACGGGAACGTGGTTAATTCCTGTTGCTATCTGTAGTAAATTACTTTTTACCCGTGGTGTATCAAGATTCCATGATTTGTTGTCAGTGCTATCGCCTAAACCTTTACGCTTATTTTCTCTAAAATTGATATTCCTCGATCGATCTAAACGAACTCGACGGTTTGGAAGTTTCAAACGGATATTTTGATTTTTTACGATACTTTACATCAAGGCACAAAAACATTTTTAAACATTTCTCAAAAATGGCACCAAATTTGTTTATTAAACTTTTGTCCTCAGCGTCAAGTACGCTTAAGAGAATGGTGCAAGTCTCATGTCCATTGATATTTCAGATTTTTGGAAAATTGCAAAAGTGCAATTTTTTGGGAATCTTCATACAATTATAATTTTGAAGATAGATATTTTTCCTTAATTAAATATGTTTCTTAAATTAAGGTCACGCACAATTTTTCAAAAATATTAGCATTTTCGAGAAATTGTGCGCGAAATATAGCCAATTTTTTAAAAACATTTTTTCTCTAAATCAGCACCAATTTCTTCTGTAATATTTAGCTTCGTATGTGTCAAGGAACGATAAAAAACGTCTTGCTTATCCCATTTTCGACAAACTCTCCATTTTTTCGAAAATCACAAAAAGTTAACATTGTAAAACTAGAAAACTAAAGATAGAGACTTTCGCCTTAGACAATGCATTTTCAAAAAAAATCAGCTCTTAAAAAAAATTCATATGCAGTTTGTTGCAAAAACGAGAAGTTTTCGCGTAATCTGGCTTGAAATTAATGCAGTTTGTAATAATGCTATAAAAACATTTTTTAAAACCGCTTCAAATTCTTTAGTTTTTTGCCAATGAATAGAATGGGCGCTTAAAAGAACGGTCTCATTTTCGTTGAACTATTCTGAATGATCGAAATTTGCAAATGTATACATAATGCGAGAAATTGTTCGCTGTTGTAGCAATACGAGTTTGTTCAAATATTTCTAGGTCTTTGTCCATAATTAAGATTCGTTCAGTTTTTACAGGAAGTCTTGAGTAAAATTTTAAAGGTATACAATACTATTGTCTGTTTTCTGTCCACTGCATCCGATAAAACAAAGATAAACGTTTGAAAGTGTACTTGAAAAACGCCCAAAACGAAGAATCTATGAGTGTACATTTACCGTTACCATAAAAGTTTACCAGGTACCAGTACAAAGTACCAGTTTACCAGGTACAAAGTATAATCAGTTATAAGCTGTAACTAGAAATTATATACCAATTTCACTACAATTTCGTGCTCCCCAAGTTTTTTTTAAAGAGAAACGGGAGAAATTCAAGCACCTTACACGCTTAATCTGAGTGTGATTCTGGGATACAAACATCCCTAGTTCCTCCTGAAAATTTTCCTTAAGGGTGTCATTTTTCTCCGGAAACGAGATAGTTTTACCCGTTCGTAATTGTTCGTATGATTTTTAACAGCATCCCCACAACAGTTGCGGCTTCTCAGGGAACGTAAGGGAGGAAAATCCTCTTCACATTTATTCTTCTAAAAGTAAATCTGATTACCAAATAAAACAATAGCTTTGATCGTAGGCGTGCGTAGAGGGGGGCTTTAACCCCTCCCCCAGCAAATATTGAAAGGGGCCTCGTTTCTTACGAAATAGGGCATTTTAGTTCCATAAATATATACAAAGCCTAATTTTCCTCTTTTTTAACTTGATAATTTGGAGAACACAACATTTGGGGATAAGGCTTTCTAGCCATCTGGCTACTCTATGAATAGTTCAACACAAAATGGATTGTATTTATTAATTTATCATTGAAGTTACAATTTCATCTTCTCTTAGTTTGTGCTATTTATTTACTAATAAAATATGTCGTATGTGAATAAAATAAATGGAAAAGGTGGTCCAGAATTGGACCTCCCCTGCTGATGTAGGCTACGCCCGCCTGGGGCTTTAACGATTGAAAACAATTTTTGAGTTGATGACGACGGGGAATTTACTTTGATGGAGTTTTAAGCTACACGCGCTTTCAAGCAACACAAAACTATCGAAATTACTCTTATGACGAACTTGTTTCCTCCTCGCCACTGCCTCCCGCTCGGCTTCGACCCCCCCCCCTCCTGCCCTTGCGTTGCTCGCCCTTGGGGAAGGGTCTCTTGCTGAGCGGAGGTGCGTCGCCACTACCCTGGAGATCATCGCAATGACAACTAGTGGTGCCAACAGCCCCTACTTTCTCGCAAAATTACGCGAAAAGTACTCAAATTTTCGAAAAATTATATTTTGACCTTATTTCAAAATCTATATTAAAGGAATAGATTTCATTAAGACAAAAATCCCTATCTTCATAATTGTAGTTGTAGGATGACTCCACAAAACTCTTGAACTTTTAAGTTTTCGAAAAATTGAAGTTTTAGGCGAAAATGAGACCTGCACCCGTTTCTTAAACGTCCTTCACACAATCCAACAACAAAATTTAATAAAAAATGGAGCCTTTGTTTGAAAAAAAAATAGAAAATGTTTCAGCGTCTTCGTGTGAAGTACCCCCAAAATTAAAATATCGGTGTCAATTTCAGAGGGCCGTGACATCTGCCACATCGATTGAAAAATGTAAGTTTTGGAAAAAATCGGCTGAATAGTTTAGTTGCTAGCAATGTTTAGAGACAGACGAAACGACGGACCGACGGACGGACGGACGGACAGACAGACGTTTTGCCGTCATTCGATTTTCCGGTATCAAGGACCCAGAAATCATGGATTCTGGCTACACCACGTGTTAGAGGATTTTCTTCCCTAAATTTAGCAACTGGCTTCTCCACTTTTTCGTTACCAGGGCCCTGTAATAAGAATTTTTCTGTTGAAAATTTACTGTTTTTCGCGCAGCATTACACAACTTTCTCTCCACTCCATAGCGAGAAAGAAAAAGTTACACGCACAGATATTTAAAATAAGGGAACCACGAACGTACTCCAGAAAAATCAAGAGTCGTCGGATTAGTAAGCGACAGCTTCACCGGCCGGATAGCCACAGCCGCTCTTGCCTGACTGATCAGGTAGACCGAAACGGACAAAACTGTTGCATATTCTGGATATTTTGCGTGTGTGTGCGTTTATGCAGTTTGACGTAGATCAGGCATAATATTGTGGTTACACGATTGTCAAGATCGGATTATTGTCTTCAGGGGTCCTAAGCATGACCAAAATTACCTCTTTCCTGAATAATATTGAAAATTGAATATATCCAAAATCAATATGAAAGCTTTTCAATTTGCAAATTCATTAGCATTCAAATAAACACACCCACCCACGCGTGTGGTTTAAACTAGTTTAATATACATTTTTGCGTGTCAATTTTTAAAAAATCCATTGTTTACTTTTTCATATCTGAATTAATGAATCTATTTTACTTTCTTGCTACTGCTTACAGATTACTGAGAAATTATTGTACTCGTAAAGTTACGGGAAGAAAGGCGAATTTTCGACAGAAAAACTTTTATTGCCGGACCCTGGTAATGTAAAAGAAGATACCTATTGTTTCTTTACGGTAAATTACTTCCCCTAACATGTGTAGTCAGATTCAATGTTTTGCAGGTCCTTGAGACGTCAAAATCGATTGACGGTAAATGGTATGTCCGTCTGTGAACAACGCTACCGGCTAAACCGTAAACCTGATTTTCACGAAAATTGGTATTCCCTATTCCATCTAACTAATTTCTCCGCCTCTTGAATTTGAACCGATATTTTAATTCCAAGTGAATAGTGCAGGTTTCATTTACGTTAAAATTCCTAATTTTTCGAAAATTGCAATAGTTCATATTTTTTTCTGCGTCTTACTACAACTACAATTATGAAGATACATTTTAATACTTAATGAAATGTGTTCATCAAAAACACCTTGAAATAAGGTCTGGTTCAACTTTTCGAAAATGTAAATATTTGTGTAAAACAGGCAATTTTTAAATTTTAAACAATTATTTACTCAAAACAGCTCCAAAGTTTTTCTTTAAAATTTTGCACTTATGGAGCAAAGAACGATTAGTAAAGGGCTCTGATCCCATTTGCGGCTCACTCTCTGTATTTTCGAAAACTGAAAAATCGATATTATAAATTCTAATTTCCCTCTTTTCGTTTGGCGCGTTGTCAGTTTGCAAAATGGCAACACGGCAGTTGGAAGCTAGAATTGTACTTTCTCGTATACATACGTTTATACAGTGTATAGATGTTATGTAATGCTGCGGAAATTTGATTTTGAGATTGCACAGGAAATAATTGTTTTGGGGCCCCTGATACCCAAAAAGGTTACTTTTTCCAAGACATCCGTCCATGTACGTCCGACCGTCTAACTTCGATGAACAATACTAAACTATTCCTGGAATTTTTTCCAAAATGGACATTCGCAAGTCGATCTGGCTTGTTTCGAAGCTCTGCAATTTCGAAAAACATTCTTTAAATTTTGGGGGTACTTTACCTGAAGCCACAGGGACATCTTCAAAATTTTCTCAAAATCGCCCCACATTTTTTCTTACAATTTCTTTTATGAATAGAGTGATATGCACTTATAAAGATGGCATGGTTACGATTGTCACTGTTGACGCTAAATTTTCGAAAATTGCAATAGTTTGAATTTTTTCGTCTTTGATGTATTCTTTTGGTTTTTCAAAAATTACATACATGTATTTTTTCAAATATCTCTCATTCTGTTAATATTCATACCTCAGCAATTTATATACTTTATTGCATTTGTGAGTCAAAGTGCTTGAAATGATTTCCAATGAAGATTCTTGAAAGCTCAAAACGTTTCTGTGAAAAATAACGTCAAATTTCGCATTTAGAGAATCGCTCTACATTTTCTCATAAACAGCTCCAAATTTTTCAACGAAAATTCCATATAGGGCGAGGATTTGCATTTCTATAAAATTCTTAAAGACATGTTATAGTTCTGACTTCTAGGCTGTCCGGGTGACGCCGCGTCGTTGGCAGAGAGGCCTCACCCGATCAGCCTAGAAGTCATGAACTCGAGCCGCAGAAGCCTACTTGTACATGTTTCAGTTCTATCATTGGGAAAAAGAAATATTGAGAAAATATGAAAAAAGTATTCTTTAGGTGGCGATATATGGCAGCAGGGAAGGTGGGGCAAAACCGATAAGCTTGCCTGACCAAAGAAATTAGAAAATGAATACGAAAACGTCTGTACCATTATGTAGCTCTTCTGGTTTGCGTTTGTTGCCGGTGGTGTTAATCGTACGATGTAGATAATATTCTTGTGAAAGGAAATAGATTTAAGGAAGGTAATATATCAAAAGTAAAACGTTCAAATGCATTTCTTTTCCTTTAAGAAGTTTTGATCGCTGATTATGGTATTCAGAAATTGAAAGGTCACATCCATGTAATCAAAGCAAGTATATGTGAAATATTCTTCTTTCTTTTCTACACAATGGTTAAATTTATTAATGTATGTCACATTTATAAAATTTAGAAATGGCTACTATTTCTGTTTATCGAAATACGCTCCGATGTGCACCACAGGCGTTTCGTGTGAATTGGTTGAATTGGACTTGTTCACGTTATAACTAAGTTTTTACAATGTCAAGAATTAAAATATTTCAATATTACGTAACTATTTCCAATAATGCGATAAAGTATGCGCTGTCTTAGCACTTCAAGTTTTGGGTGTTACGATAAATTAGCTAATAATTAGACATGCTTGTGATAGAATATAGTACGCCTTGAAAAAAATATATTGGGGGTTCCTTAGCGAGCGGAGGTCCTAAGTATATATTTTGTCTGGTTGTGATTTAATCTGTCCCTGGTGATTGTGCCCTCTACTACACAAAGCTTTCATAGACCGACATCAGTTTCTAATATGATTCGCTAACATCTTGCCACGAATATGGCCCTAGAAGAATTATGATTAGGTACTTACTTTAAATCTATACTTTCCTGTTGGAGGTCTTGCATATGGAATTCCTCGAAATGCAGAAAATTTCCTTCCTGCAGTGGATGAAGCGTAAACACCTTGCACAGCTCCTGTTTCTAGGTGGACTAAAGGCTGTGTTTGAAGCACTACCATTGGTATAATTACCAAAAATAATGTTAATATGAGCAGCATTTGTGGCATTTTTACTCGAGTGTGTTTCTCTCCAGAATCAAAATTCACTCTCCCTTTTGTACTTCTCTTCCCTTTCCACCTATTTTACAACGGCAGCCGAAAGATAAGATAAGAAATGTGGTAATTAATCCTTTGAGTAGTGTAATTGTTAGTTGGCTTTCAACTTGTCACAAGGAGATATTCTACAAACACTCTGCTTTAGGCTGCGTATAGGCAGGCGCAACCTATAACAAGAAGGGGCACAGTCTTTTCTGGGTCCCTTGTTCATTAAAGTTTTACGAAGTAACTTCTTAAGAAGAGAAAGTTATGTAATCGTGCTTCTGAAAACGAGGACTTTTGGCAGAAAAACTCTTATTGCCGGGTCCTGGAAACGAAAAAGTGGATAAATCTTGTTGCTAAATATATTTAAAAAATCTTCTAGCACATGTAGCCAAGGTTTATGGGTCCTTGATACCGAAAAATCGATTAACGACAATATGACTGTCTATCTTTCCGTCTGTGGTCAACGCTAACGCCTAAATCGTTCAAGCAATTTCCTTCAAAATAGATATTCTCTTATTGACCTGAGTTAACTCGAGGCTATAGCAATTTGAAACCGATATTTTGATTTTTAAGGGTACTTTGTATGAAGCCTCAAACACATTTTCAAAATTTTCTCAAAAAATGACTCCTAATTTTTTGATCAAACTTTGTCCTTAGATAAAGGACGCTTAAGAGAATGGTGCAGGTTTTATGTTCGTTAAAATCCTAGATTTGTTTTTGAAAATTGCAAAAGTACAATTTTTTGGGTTCTTCCTAAAGCTATATTGAACATAGACATTTTTCCTTCATGAAATATGTTCATTAAAGACGGATATTTAAATATGTTCATGTTCAATTTTTCGAAAATATGAGTACATTTAATTTTGTCAGGAAACAAAGACAATTTCTCCAAAACAAACAATTCTCGCAAAAACAGCTCAAAATTTTTTCTTTACATTTTTTCCACAGGTAGAGGACGTTTAAAGGAACGATGCAGCTAACATTTTCATTGAACACTCTAAATTTTCGGAAATTTCTAATAAAGAAATAATATGAGAAAGTGTGTGTTGTTGGAGCGGCATTAATTAATTTACGTACGGCATACTTAACTAGTAAAAAATAAACATGCTACAGAAGAATAAAATTGTTACAATAAATTAATAAATACTAATTGACTTTATGTTGTATCATTTCATGTGTCCCAAGGGGATGTAAAGGCTATTTGACCATTGGCTGGATAAAAGCCATAGAGGGAGATAATTGATTGAATATTTTTTTAATAATGTATCAAATTAACCCTCCTTTCAATTTTCTTGACCCTAACAGTTTGTTTTTAAGGGTAGCATTGCAGTTGATGTGCCCCAGTTCAAATATTCTTGGTAGTATTGGAGAGCATTTGCATAGACATTAGTGATTAGTGATTAGTGATAAAAGGATATGGTTTGGTCTACAGCAGAGAGTTCAGGTACAACATTGGGTATGGGTACAGTGAGAATGTGTTCAGCATTTAAGAGCAGAACCTCTGCATCCAAAGCAGAATATTAATTACAATTGTTTGTCCAAGAAACTGGTTTCTAGATCTAGATTCACATCACTATTATTTTACTCTTTTTATCATGTTCTGATCTTTTATTCTTTGTTTTATTTTGTCATTGAAAAAATATTTCTCAATATAAATATATTTGGATTGCTTTAAATTAAATAAAGTACGTTTTCCATTAAATGCCATAGATTAAATGCCCACTTATCATGCTTCTTGTAAAACTAAAAATATATATTTAAAAAAGAGCAGTCTGAATGCCACACATTCCTACCCTTTGAATGTCAATAGTATGTCTATTGAAGGCTTAATGAATAAACAAAGAGAAAGGTAAAGGGCAATTCTCTATATGATACAGGGGACATCCGTAGATATCCATGCCAATGTAATTTTATTTGATTTGATGATAGTCGCTTCCCATAACTTATTATTGCATAACATTCTAGTGTTATTCAAAATATGTCAGAATGAAATATGTAACCACATATATTATGTACAAAAATAACTTGAAATTTTTGGTGGCTCATTGGACAGGGAGAAAAAACTATTTTTCACATTGTTTAAAATTATTAATTTTTTCTGTGAATTATAAAAGATTCTTGAAATATTTCGAATAAAAATATTAAGTTTATTCATAGTTTATGCCAATGCACTATACAACTTCCAGTATATTATTAATTAAATTTTTCATTACTTGATTTGTTTGTGATGCATGGGACATTTGAAAAGTGACACACGGGACAGTTTCTTCTGTGAAGTTGCCAGCAGGTCAAAAATGTGGCTGAGAAAAGAAACTGCAGTTCACAGTTGTTTCTATTTAGATTTGTTATAATTACAAATTGTGTGCTATCGTTTTGAATCTTTTTAGCTATTTTGACTTAGTTTACAAAGGTAAGATTATTAAATTAATTCTAAGTATTCTTAAAAAGATCCTTAAAACAGTCCTTAATGATAACTAATTTCAGATTATCATGGCAATAGTGAACAACAAGAGTGTTAGGGAAAGAGCTAAAGAATACAGAACAGAACAGTTACGTAAAGGAGAAAAATAAACAGAGAATGCAAGCAAAACGAAAGGAGATGAGAAAAGCAGATCTAGTCCAACTTGAAATGTAGAGGAGAAAAGAGAAATTAAGAAAATCTGAATATAGAAAGAAGAAGTTAGTCAACATCATTAGTGGAAATGATCAAGGACCTTCTACACCAGTAAGAACTTATTTTTTCCCTTAGGTATTGGCAAAGCTTTTAGAAGTCCATTAGTTCTCTACCAAAATTCCCTTCAAAAAAGAAAGCAATAGTAGCTAAACTTGTAAAAGACCGAAGATACTTGTCCTTTGGATATATATTTGCAGAAATTCAAGCAGTCAAAAAGCTGAGCTCATAGCTTCTAGGACCTGATTGGCACAATTATGTAAATTAATATTCAATTTGTAATTAATAAACTGACACGTATTATACTACCCCCCGCTAGTAGGAAAGCGATTGAAATTGTTTGTATGGTGCTTATATGATATTAGAAAACAAGCAGAAAGAAGTACTATTCTCTAAAAGGGTTTCTCTTAAAGAAAGTACTTTTTAAATAGCTGTATTTTGTGAATTAAGTTTGCTACACTCGAAAGTTTGTGGAATTTTTCAACACGTCTATTTTCTGCAAAAATAGCTAATTCGACCAAAGTAATATCTGATTCGCACTCTAGACGATGGATGTTACACTGCAAATCTAAGTACTGTCAGACACGTGAAATGCTTAATACAAAATGTAAAAACATTTTTTTGAAGTTAGATCTTCCAAAAATAAAAGATGAATCCAGCACATTTTGGGAAAACATTCTTTGCAACAATGTAATGAGCTCTGTGACAAATGTGATAAATGTTCACTGGGTCTAAAGTGGCCACTGAACTTGAACTTGCTGTGTCCATTACATAAAAAGAATGGGAAAAAACAGACCAAAATAAGACTCCATTGTTTTGTGAAAGAAGGATGTGCTTGTGAATTACTAGAAAAGGTGAACTGAATTTTAGAGGCATTATGATATAGCTCTTAAGATTGTTATATACAAAAGAGAATACATATTTTATGAGCTTTTATAATATTGCAACTAAAAATGTTTGGTGTAATTAGTTACCTTTTTATGAATGTTCAAATTTACAGTAAAAGTAGTAGTTTTTTTATTTCTCTCATGTAAACTGTTTTTAAAAAGAATATTTCTCATAGAAAATTGGAAAATATCAGTACCGTGTTTGTGTCACAACATTTAAAGTGTGTGCTATCCAATAAAGACAACAATTTTCTTTTTTTTTTAAATATTTTAAATTTGATTTCTAGGTTTCATTTTCTAGAGATGCCCTAAATAATAAAGACAATGCATTTATTAAACAAAATTGTTTTTATATTTAAAATAATGAATTAATACATTACTCCACATATGTCTACAGCTTTCGATAACATTTTGGGTAACAATTTGAGCGACATTTTAAAATTTTGAGAATGAAAATTTCTTTACAACTGATCAAACTTGTATGATTTATTGAATCAATCAAATACCAGGTTATAAAATATTAATTTCTGTAACTGTATTGATATAATTTATGTACATATTTAGAGTTGTTTCTAGAATGTTTTTCTGATAAATTACTAAATAAGTTGATTTTAAACAAGACATCTCAAGATTTACCAACAAGAAGAGGTAGGAACATAAACATATTAATTAGTTACTTCAAACCATTTAAAAAAAATTGTTCCTTTGAAAATCTGTCAATAAGATATTTTTTTGAATTAGTATTTTATAAGTTAATGGAAGCACTTTGAAATGCAGTTTTTGTATCAGTTTGATCTTCCAATATCTTTAAAAGTACATTTGTATGCAATGATTCCAAAGTCTTAAAACTGCGCTTTAATGCAGCCATAAATAAAACAATAGATTAGTTACTAAGCCTGATTCGTGTCGTAATATATTTACTAACAATACATTTCTGATGCAATTACATACTGAATAATCCTTATTTCAAATCCTCGCTTCTAAGAATTCTTTTGGAATCCCTTATGTTTTGATTGATAATAATAGTTACTTATGATACAAATGATAAATGTGACATTTTAATTTACAAATAGGAAATATTGAGACACAAGGCTGATAGCCTAGAGAAACACAATCTTACAAGCATGAAATCACTTTTGCCAGGTGTGTCACACACTATTTTTAGACAGACTTATAGATTTTCCTTTTATTTTAATTCTGGTATATAGATCGATTAACTGGAAACTGTCACATTAAGATCAGTAGTAGCTGATGCAGTCAGACAAAAATATTTTTTTCTTTATTGCAATCCCTGTTTTATGTAAACATTTGAGCATCCTCTCACTTTTAGCACCAGCGCTAAATATTGAACCTTTTGCATGCCACCAATGGCCGGAAAGAAACTACTTTTACTAGTGGCTGTCTAAAAAATTATATATTTAGTATTAGAAATTTTATTGCACACTTGTAAAATGAAAACAGTACTTTTACCACATAAATGCAATACATAGCTTGTAATTCTTTGGCTTTGTTCTGTTTGTAAGTACTACACAGTTTATTTCAATTTTAAAACTATTAGCAAACTTGACATAATGGATAATGAATTTTTCAACGACAATGCAGAACTATGGTATGGGACTTGGTGGGGTGGAGAGGATTGGAAATATACTATGCGATCATTTTGTTTCTGCAGAGGCCTGAAGTTTGAAAGCAGAAATTTTCCTTTTGAGTCAGTCACTTTTTGGAAAAGGGAAATCTGAAAGAGAAAAAGTAATATTTTAGAAATTACTACTATTATATTTGAAAGCAAATGATACATTTTTGAAAGAAATTGTTAAAAAAGAGTATCTAAGAAAATATGTGAAGAGTATGTTTTCAGAAAAGAGAGTAAATGTGAAGTAGTGACTTTTTAAATCAAGATGCTGACATCATAACACTTTCATGTAAAATATTTGGTTTAGGTTTTACATCCTGTTTATTGAATTATGGTATAAATACCTGTTTGTTGGAGAGGGGCAGGCTATTACTGAGTACAGTCCACACCACAGATTCATCACAACCTGGAGTTGTCAGAGATCCATAGTACCGGTAGAATTTGGATGTGTCATGTGGCAGCAGACTTGCAGGTGAAAACTTTATATTCTTTTTCATATCATATCTCAGGTCCTTCACTTGATCTAGTACTTGAATTTCATTCCTGGAGTCTTTATCCTGAAAATTAATGAATTTACATATTTAATTTCACAATTGTATTCTTTTTGGTTACAAGTTGAATAGGATTGAAAGTTTTGTTCAACATTATAAAACCAGTCTGATCATATAGTGAGTTTGTATGACTGAACTGAAATATTATCAACTTAAACTACATTAAGGATACGTGAGATCATCAGGAGAATTAATTCACTGCAGGACTCTTTCTTTAGTGATTCATTCTGTACTTTCTACATGGAATTGAATGCTTTTCCTCTGTTAGTAAAAATATTTTCTTATTGTATTAGCATTGTATACTACAGATGCCGCAAGTTCTATCACAATATTAAATGTCGGGGCCAATTTTACAAAAATATCATTCGCGAGATCCGTCTGAACATTGTAATTCACATTAAAAAAAGAAAAGAAAATTGTTCATACTTTAAGTGAACTTCAGGACAGAACGTGAACTCTACATTGAGGTATTTTAGGCCTATTAACGCATCAATTTCATTTAACACAGATTTCTAGTTTATAATCGTTTCTGACCATCCTGCTTCGGAGCAGGGGCGCCAGAAGAGCTGAATCTCCATTCAGTTCCTAGCTCCAGGTGACCTCGCACGATCCTCGTACTCTACACGATTCCCAAATTATTTCTCGCGCATGTTCCCGTAAGCTGCGGTCAAAATGAAGAGGATGGCGACGTAGCGTGAAAAAGTATATAGTGTTTTTATGAGTTTATGCAGGGGCGGATCCAGAGACAAATTTTTGGAGGGGAAATTCAAAAAGTTTTGGTCGAATGTGTCATATAATGTCGCAGGCTACACTCAGCTCATACGGCGATGCGTTTTTCTTCGTTTTAATGATAATCCGAAAATATGTTTGCTTGAAAGTTTCGTTAAAATTAATGGTTACTGAAAAATTTTAGGGGAGGCTTCCCCATCCCCTCCCCCCCGTGGACCCGCGGCATCCCGACCCCCCGTGAAGGTTTTCATTTTTCTTTGCATGTGCATGTGTTTCTGGCATGCACTTCCAAATGTTCTCCACGTGATCCCTTACACGTTTCCTTACGTATTCATTGACTGATTATTTCGTGTTTTTGGGCGCATCACTTGCTGCGGTCATTAGTACCGTTCAGAGCCTTTTTTGTCACGGGAGGCGGCAGTGTTTCTCCCCCAGTGGATGATGAGATCCGGCGCCAACCTACACGCCGGCTAGCACCATTTTCCACTTCTGCCTCTTCAACTAGCGGGGCATCGCCCCAGCCAGAACAAGTTCTAACCAGTCAGTTGGTTTCCCGACACATGTAGTGCAAGTAAGTGCAAGCGTGTGTAAGTAAGGGGACGACAATAGGTACTGTTCTGGCATTCGCCTGGTGTTAAACGGAGAAACCATTGAAAACTCCCGATCAGAGCAGCCGGCCACTAGAATTCTCCTCCACACAGAAGCTGAATTCGACCTAGTTATTTAGCTAGAGTCGAAAATTCTGCCAGCGACGGGCCTGGAACCCACCTCACTTATTGCCATATATTCAAGGGATCTAAGAAAAAATTGCAGAACTTTTGAGTCACTTCAACAAAAAGACGCCCTTCAAAGTCCGTGGAAAACACGGGTAAAAGTTAGTATGCGTTAAAGATTGCATCCCACCTCTTCTGCCATCGAGGGTGTATTAGATCCCTGGAGCTGCGGCCACAGTTACGTCGGCGAGGCGGGAAATGCCTCTGGGTACACATTTGCCATTACAAGAACAATAATAATTACAAGAACAATAATCGGCGGGGGCCATCCACGCATGGAAAACTGACGACGCCGTTCTTTCACCTACACCTGTCTCCAGGCCTGGGAAGACCGCCGGGGACCGAATGAACATTCAACAAGAAGAGTTGCGTCTTACAAGTTTTGTCTATTTTTATTATTTAATTTTAATCCTATGTTATTATTCTTTACGTATAACGTTCCAGGGTGAAAAAATATACTATATATTTGAAGTATCCTTTTCCTTAGAATTTGCTTAGTTGATGTCTTTAATATTTGAATATATTTTATAAAAAGTTCAAAGAATCGGCAACGCCACATTCAGATAGTATGTAGTACAGAGAAAGGTATGTAATGCTTCGGAGAATTAATTTCGAGATTTCAACGAAAATATGCACTTGGAGGTCCCCTGAAACTAACAAATTGGTTTTCTCAAAAACGTCCTGTGAAAAAACTATCAACGAAACCATTAAAAAAAAAAGAATATGCCCTGGTCGATCTGTACCGACTTAAAGCTCTGTTATTTTGAACATCATTCTTTAAATTTAGTGGGTACTTTAAATGAAGCCCCTGGAACATTTTCATTCTTTTCACAAAACGGCTCCATTTTTGAAGTTTGCTGTCAGTATATAGTGAAATACTCTTATAAAGATGGATTAGGACCGATTTTCATTGTTAACTCTGATTTTTCAGTTTCAAAAGTTTTAATATTTTACGGGGTCTCCCCATAACTACAATATTGAAGATTGAGATTTTCGCTTCAAATGAAATTTATTCTCCATAATCTGTTCTTCCATTAACGTCATGTACATTTTTTTTGAAAATTTGAGTAGTTTTTGAACAATTTTGAGTGAAATATACACAATATTAAATAACATTAACAATAAGGTTTTCTTTCAAATGGATCCAAAATTTATTTTCAACCTTTTTGTTGGCATTGTGTTATCTCTCGCGTCGTTTGCATTACCGGAGATGTGTATACATGATTGCATTTATGAGTACATGCGCTTCGAAGGCTATCTGATAAAGTTTCTGAAAAAAAGAAAGTTTTCTGAGAAAATGACCTCTAAATTCCGCAGTTTCTGAAATGCTGAAATGCCATTATCTCGAAAGCAATTGCAATAAAAAATATATGGATAGTGCTAATCGGATTGAATAACACGACACTTTGGTGTATTCTTTTGTTTTATCAAAAGTTAAACCAAATTAATTCTTTTGAAATGTCTCTCATGTCAGTATTTACATTTCGAAGTTTTCTTATACTTATTGCATTTGTGTATAGAAGATCTTCAAATAATTCCTTAAGACGCTTCTCGAACCTTCAAAACCTTTCAGTGAAATTTGTTTCAAAATGCGCATTTTCATAAATGCTCAAACAAAAGTTTCTTATAAACGGATCCAACTTTTCCACTGAAAATGTGCATATATATGTAGGACTAGATTTTATCTTTTGATTACATTCTTAAAGTAATATTTGAATTCCAATTTTAGAGATACGAAAAAAACGAGATAACAAGAAAAAATAACTTGGGGAGCCAAAAGATGGCAGATGAGATAATCGTGGGGCAAAACCGAAAATGTAGCTCAGACGGAAGAATAAGGAAACTAATACGAGAAAGTCTGTGCCATTCTTTAGTACCATTAGTCTTTAATGTGTCATCTTCTGGCAATTATCTGATATTGTGGCGTCTTTGCCGGGGCAAAAAATCACAGACGTGAACGGTTTGTAAATTATTAAGTATTTATTTGAAAAAATGTTTCACAATTAAAGATGTTATGAATATGTTGATTATAAAATCTCCTCCAGGTTGCAACCCATTTCCTAAGGAGCAAATCTAAGGACTGGCGGTACAAACTTTGCGCAAAATGTGGGCTGTTCCAAATAAAGCAATTTCTTGAGCTTCCCAGTCTTTTGAGTTGCCTGAGAGTTTAGCCAAGTTCTTATACAAATATTGCAGAAAAAATTCCATAGCTCCGATAACTACTGGGGCAACCTGTGCTTTTACGCCCCACATTCGGCTGATCGCGATTCCCAAACTCTTGTATTTAAGGCGTTTCTCTGCCTATTGGTTACCACGTTTTGATCGCACGGTATAGAAACATCTACAAGTAGACATGTCTATTTTCTTCCAATTCCGGATAACAATATCGGTTTGTTTGCCACAGTCGTGCGACCAGTTTGAATTCATTGGTCGGGCAAGGTCCAATAGACGTCACCGGTTTTAGGCGAGTGTTCGTAGCATTTGGAGCATGTGTTTAGAACTTTGAGGGCGGTACAGATCTGCCAGTGAAGATAACTACTCACCCATTCGTATGTTATCAAGTATTTGATTTTTGCTACAATTTGCTACACAAGCTGAGACAATACGATCAATCACGGTATTTATCATCTTCGGAGAATTTTGAGAATCGTTTTATCATAATGTCGTGTTCTCAACGCCTGATTTTGGGCAGCTCTTAAAACTGCTTCCGATTCGAGCTTCATTCTTTTCTTTTTAAGCCACATAAATGATTCATATTTATTGATCTGCACCTTATTCATTCTTTTTAGATACTATCCATGGAGTGGTTTGCATCTCCACGATTTCTGTAACATTTTTTGTCTCACGTTTCATATTTGGTAGCATCAGAAGTTCAGTGTCTGTGTTATTCTGCATGTCTTGCATAGCTTTATTCGCAATGTTTCTTGCTACACTAACAATTTCTCTGTTTCTTATTCTTCGATAAGATTTCATGACCTGTATCATTATTGGATCATCTTGTTGACTGACTTCGTACGTGCTTTTCCATCCCCACTATTGCATTGTGCCAGGGGCTTCAATTATTATTATTATTATTATTATTATTATTATTATTATTATTATTATTACTATTATTATTACTATTACTATTAATATTACTCACAAACAGACCAACCTGACCAGCACTTGGCTAGCCCCGCCCGCTCCTGCCCCTCACCGGTCTTGTTCGGCAACAATGTCGTTCCATAGATGCTTGGTAGGTTGAATTAAATCCAGTAACGAAAATATTTCTATTATCAAATTTGTTGTAACATTTTTTGGATCGCAAACCCTACGTTTATTTTAAACGCTGCTCAAAGTGTTTGTGCAAAATTTGAGAACAATCGCACCATGGTTTAAAGGTTTTGTGGAAACCTACATGCACGAACGCACACATATCCCATTTTGTACATGACTGGTTTCACTTACCTCAAACATGACTCCGATAACTGCTATACCCCCTTTTACTTTAACTGCGTCTTCGACTTTCTTGAATCTCTTTTCAAAATGAACAAAATGCACCTCAAGTGGATATCTGAAACGACCGAAACATTTTTATGACATGTGGATCATTAATCAAATTCGCTTCTTTACAATTAAATACCTTTTTCCGTTGATAGTGTGCTCAGATTTCCAGTGAAAATGGATTTGTGCTAAGGAATAAACTCTATTTAATCCTCCTCCTGTTAGCATGATATTATGAGGAATATCTGTTACCTGCAGTTGAACTAGAAAACAAAAATATTTTTTTCAGATTTAAATATATAATATAATAATTTATTGTTATTATTATTATTATTATTATTATTATTATTATTATTATTATTATTATTATTAATCTCTTACTTGTATGTCCATTATTTGTGATGTTTCCATTATATATATTGTTATAATTTATGAAGGATAGAGATTCAAAGTTACTTTCTACGGTTCCTCCAGAGCCCAGGTCAATTGGAGACTGGTGTTTGCCATCTTTACATTTACCAGACCAATGTTCCGGACCTGAAAAAAATAAAATGTCTCGGATATTACTTTGGAACAGTCAAAAAGAAGACATTAAAATATCAGCAAAGAAATATTTTTACATATTTCACTTATTTACTTGTTTGCAGCTGGCACTCTGTCTGGCAATACCAAAGTTAGCATATTGAGTTTTTCTTTTAAATCGATTTGTCCTTTATGTTCTATGTTTTACAGATGTTTAGATGATCCAACACACCAGAATGACGTTCCAGTTATTTTAATTTTCTTATATTAGTGGATGTTAACACGTTTATGCAATAGCATTTTACTTTCTCCCCTTTCTTCGTAAGAAGAGAAAGTATTGTAATCGTGGTCAGGAAATGGGCGAATTTTCGGCCGAAAAAATCGTATTGACGGCTCTGGTAACGAAAAAATAGGATACATATTTTAAAAGTAAATCTTATGTAATAAATTCCTTTCTTTAACACGTTGTGTAGTCAGAATACATGTTTTTGGTTCCTTTATACAGAAAAATCTATTGCCGGCAGAACGTGTCTGCCCGTGCGTCTGTTCGTTTGTCTGTGGTTTAACGCCAGAACGGTTTAGACCATTTTCTCCAAAATGATTCGCCGATCGATCTGAACTCAAGATAATGAAGAGTTTGATACAGATAGTTTGATGTTTGGGGGTACTTTACATGTAGCCTCGTCATCATAATCATAATCAAATGTTATGTGTTTTAATATCAGTTATATAAATATTGTTTTTCTGCCGGTGACATGAAATGTTTGTACAACTTACATTGGAAAACTATAATTTTGAAAAAAATCTAGTAACTTTTTAAAACTAATTATATATTTAATTAATATTGGACTCATACGCGAGTTTAATTTTTCCATTGTTTTTATCTTTTAAATCGTTATTAACACACTCAAGTGCACAAAAATGTTTTTTTATACAGAGATCATTCGAATCTATTCAAGTATTTTCGCATACTCTGTGTTTCATTAGGTTCTTGTTTTCAGCTCGTGCATAAATTCCCTACATAGCAAAAGCCACAAATATTACTTTGGATTATACGTCTTGAAACGATTTGAAGTGCAGTGAGTGACGTCGAACGTGCCATTGTTGCGTCGGAGCGTCATGTTGGTGCCGCGCCAAAGAACGAGCTCGTTAGTTTCGGTGATTGATCGTTCAATTATAGAGAGGAAAATTGAACAATGGGAAGTGAATGAGAGCAAATTGACGCTCCTTCAATTTCCTAATTGTGGTTATGAGTTGCATATTGTCTGATTATTTGATATTCCTCAGTTATCATTTATCCAATTGCAAAACAATGTCTCTTCGTGTGTTCATTGTCTGTACAAGCGAAGATGCAGCCACAGAAGGGAGTAGACTGGGCGAAAGAAAGGTGTCGTTTGTGCTTCCTAAATTACCTCATGACCTGACATGAAATACGATAAAAATTGAAGGTCAAAGCATAGGTTTGTTAGTATTGGTGCGAAAAAAAACTGAGTTCGTTGCAGGGGGAGGTGTTATCATCGTAAATATTTGTGCTATTGTGCCCTTTAAATTACGAAAAATAAATATAGGATTCAGAACGTCGAAAGCTTGAAATTTCCTAGAAATTCAAATTTATTTTTGGAATAATATATTTCCGAGACTCTTAACATAGAGCAAATCATTGCTCTATGATCTTATTAAAGTTGCACGACTCTTTTTACTTGTTCCTTTCCCCTCATTTTGTTATGCAACAGTGCACATGTACAGTTTCTCTGACATAGTTCTCCTCGCGGAAATTGGCTGCTCTGATGTGTGTTCAGGATGTTCGTCACGGTAACAGAGGCCAAAATATTTTCAGTCTATGCATAGTTAAATATCATTCAATCAATATCTTCAGTCAAAAAGTTTTAGACAATTGCCAGAGAAAATGTGCTTTATATCGTAAACACCAAAAAATTAACATTGAACTAGTGGTGCTACAGAACGGCACTGACTTTTCCGTATTAGTCTTCGATTTCCTTTGGTCTCGGGTAGATTCTCGGACTTGCCACATACTCTTGCCAGCTGCCATCTATCACCACCCAAAGTTCATTTTTGAATTTCTTCATGCAAAATTTTAAAGAACAGTAAAACCTTGTCATAATGGTAATTTTCATTGAAAAATTCCAAGTTGTTATTAAGAATACGGCATTTTAGCGCTACTGTAAATTCGAAATTTGAACCTCTTTTCACAGAAAATTTGAGTTTTCAAAAAACTATATGAGGTCTTGCACCAAGCACTTCCAGTCACAAATGCAATAGTGTTTACAAATCGCTAGAAATGTGAGTGTTACAGGCATGAGAGATCTTTCAAAAAATTACATTTGTATAATTTTAGAAAAAACAAATGAATACAGCAAAATTAATTCTATGTCACCTTAATCAGTACAATTAGCATTACCTGTTGGAAAACTGAAGAAAAAAATTGGAGACGTTTTAGAGAAAATCGTGTTTGAACGTTTCTGAAAATGCGGAAGTTTTATCTCGTTTTAACGGAAAACTGTTGCTGCTAATGTTAATATTAATAACGCGAGAGACAAGTAAAAAAAAATACATTTGTGAATTTAAAAAAACAACAACATAAGAATGGAGCAATATGTCATGCATGCCATCTGATAGAGTGCATTAACACTATACCTATTAAAAGTTGAAAGGAAACATGTAGAGTCTTTTTGAGAACATCTTTTTT